TTATAAATTGGGATTATAAATAAAGGTTACGCTTAGATGCGTTTTTTTTTTTTAAAAAAAAAAAAAAAAAAAAAAAAAAAAATTCTTATATCACTTGTAATTTCACAGATTTGCCTCAATTCCACGATTCTTTTTTCAATTAATTCAATTTCTTCAGCTATTTTTTTTTGAGCTGCTGCATTAATAGGGATTTCTAATTTATTCTCAATTGGAACAACAGCAGGAAGCAAAGAAACAGGTTCTGCTTCTGTTACAAATCTAGGACGGCTTGCTTTTACTGTTGGTATGTTATAAGAGTCAACTGGTGTAGTCAGATATTCCTTGATTTTATTATTTATTTCTAATGCACTTTTGCTTTTAATTTTATTCCACTCTGCTGCTGCATCACGACAAATATTTGCACGGTTTGGAGAGCTATTTCCTGTTCTAACCATAATACTATAAGCATAAGCATTAGTAAATTCCATATACTTATTAACGGGCAAATTGAAAATTGACTTTTTATTGAAATTTGGGCTAATTAAGTAAGTTTGACGGCTCATTTTTTAATTTTAAAAAAAGCAGACACGTTTTTTTTTTTTGTAAATTAATAAATTCTTTCCTGAATAATTATTAAGTAAAAATGTTAATACACTACGATTTATGTTTTTAATTGATCTAACCCGAAGGTGAGTTATTTTTATTATTTACCAAATGTTTTTATATTTTTTTTTAGATAATCTTTTAAGCATAGCTAATTCATCTTTTTTTTGATTTTGCTACTAAAGCTTACATCTTCATGTGCATTAATATAGCCTTGATTGAGACTCTAATTTTGGCTTAATTTATTTCTTCTTTCTTTGTTTTATCAACCAATTGTAGCTCTTAATTAACTGCTTTTTTAGGTTAGTACCTTCAAATATCAGCGATAAAAATTACATGAATCACATGGTAAAAAGTATGGGTGAGCTGGAAGCATATTTAAGTATGAATGAGATTCTATAGGTTTATTAGCTTCAGGCCTCTGAAATTATCAATGACACTAAAGCTTTCATTTTATACATTTACTAGTATTGCAAACAAAATTTTCTGTATATGGTAGCTTGGCTGCTGCACGTTGTAAAAGGGTAGATCGTGGCTTGCAATTTATTAGATCGAGATTAACCCTTTACAAAACGATAATTTAACTATTGTGCAGGTAGAGCTTAATTGTTACTTCTGAAGATGAAAAGTATCTGAAGCTAAAATTTGGGACTTTATTTAAAGAAGATGAACTCTACCCACTTGTAAAGTTTATATTAAGTTTGGATTCTAGCTTCATTTGTTTTTAGCTTCAGCAGTGATATCTATTTCTTCTAGAAATTGCATATCTTGAAATTAGAGCATTACCAAATTGACTAGTATATAATATTAAAAATAAGCTTGTATGTTGAATCGATGTTTGGGTCATTTCAATAGTGTTTTAGTTACTTGATATTTTTCTAAAAACGGTTTCATGGGTTGCATGCAATTTAAATATATAGATGCAAATTTTTTATAAACAAATATATGATATATAATTTTAATATAATTTATATAGCATAATATATAGTTAAGATTTTTTTAAATGTATATGTAGGTCACATGATTACTATATTGAATTTTAATTGGTTAATTTTATTATAATATATTTATTATAGTCTTATGTGGGGGTGGGGGGTTAGCTGCTACATCAAATCGATATTATGTAATAAATGTCAGGGCCCTTACAGTCTACAAGCAAACTATTAGCCTTCATAGGAAGACATTCATATGATTGGTTAATTTTTGCCGATCTACCCATGATTGCCTGTGATAATTAACCAATCA